GAGGAGAGAGGGGCTTCGACATAGACTCGCCACTGTAAATAATGAGGACCACTCACCACAGAACCCACGCCGCCGGGAGAGGCGGGAGGGGGGAAGTGTGGGAGTTGAAGTCCACTCATCTTAAAGTGGCCAAGTTTGGACAACACTGGCATAGGGATATTTGAACAATCCGTGCTAGATTTCTTCTGTTTCTGCTATAGATCTGTATTGGGTGCACTTAGCAAATCTTTTTGGACCGGTTTCATATCCATATAGTTACTGTATATATTTGTGGATAAGCTCATCCGTGGATAAGCCAACCCTAAAATTTTTAACCAAAATACCATGAAAAATGTGCTACCCATGGATAAGCCAACCTGCATTTTTCATGGTATTTTGGTTAAAAATTCAGGGGTTGGCTTATCCAGAGATGAGCTTATCCGCAAGTATGTACAGGAAATACAGGTACTTTAAAAAATTTTTTACCATATATACTTGCGGATAAGCCCGTCTGTGGATAAGCCGAACCCAATTTTGGGGATATATTTTGGCACCTAAAATTCTCAGCTTATCCGTGAGGATATGCCTTCTTAGCATAAAATTTGTGTAATACCTGATTCCAAGCAGGTCCTGGTTCACTTTTAACCATAAATGACAGATGCCACAACCTCCTTTTTCTGATTTGGTTCCTGGTGACCTTTCACCTCTGCAGGGCAGACAGAAATTTAATACCTGTTGGCTAAAACTTCCCGCTTTGTGGAAACGCTGTGCGAAGAAAGCTGCATCTGTTGTTAAATTTTGCAGCCAAGAGGGTAAAGCATGGTAATATTACAAACATTACAAAAGCAAATAAGTGTACTTGGTTAAGAAAGTTTGGAGATGTTCTACAGCCTGATCAGGAAGGTTTCTAGAGTTGTTTACTCCAACGTGCTCTGGACTTAGCTGCTGTTGAAAGCTGATACACTAGAGTAAGTAGGAATGCCAGCTCGCTCTTAGTTCAAACCTCCCATCTGTCATAGGCTTTCAGTAGTGAGTTTAGAGGAGCTGCTCCAGTTTGCTCTCCGTAGTATGTGACACTGACCGACTTTCTCCCCCTTTCAGCTTTGAAGGCTGTGACTGCTGCAACGGACCTTTGTACGGAAAAGGCTTTCGTTTTATCCTCATTTATAGGAACGTTTATGGACTAAGGCTTCCGTATCAATTTTCAGCTTGCTCACCGGTCTGCTACATGGCCTTTGTCAAGCCAGCTGCGCTGACCTGATGAACGTGAATGTTTAGTTGATTGAGATTCAGGCAGAGCAAATAACCTGTTGAATGAAGACCAAGCAATGATTCAAGTATGGAAGGGCATTTTTTTTTTTGCAAAAGCGTGTATTATGTAGACCTTCTGTGGGGTCTAAGGATTAGTGTGACATTGCAGAGTTCTCTTGATTACTACCCCCATCTGTAAGCAATGTTGTGAAAATCCTAGCACCACTTCCAGCTTTTAACTTAAAAAAAAAAATCCTAGCACCACTTCCAGCTTTTAACTTAAAAAAAAAAATCCTAGCACCACTTCCAGCTTTTAACTTAAAAAAAAAAATCCTAGCACCACTTCCAGCTTTTAACTTAAAAAAAAAAAAAAGAGACTAGTATTATTTTAAAAGTCTTTTAATGTAAAGAGTGTATGTATGATTAAAGGAATGTGTGTTTGATATGTGTAATGCTACTTTTACTGCTGTTATCTTCTCTCTTTCCTAAGCATAATAAAACAAAATACTGTGCACTGATACGCTGCTTGATAGCATGCTTTGCTACTTCAGAACAAACTAAATGATGGGCATCTGAAACCATGGTTTCTTGTATGAGGCAAGATAATCACAGCCACTTTACTCATGATTTGGGCTGCTACTTGTAGAAATTTAACCCAAATCATTCACCAACAAATGTAAGCAGCAGTGTGTTTAGAACGCAATGTATGCAGCAATAGATAATACTTTGGTCAGTATACAAGAGAATACCAGTGACGGTCAAGGCTTTTGGAGCGTACCATTTGCACAAATCTGGTTTTGCATGGCTTATAGAAGTCTTTTTTGCAGATGCATATATTATGTAGACCTTCTGTGAGGTCTAAGGATTAGTATGACATTGCAAAGTTCTCTTGACTGCTACCCCAACCGTAATCCAAGTTTGTGAAAATCCTAGCGCCATTTTCAGCTTCCTTTGACTATAAAGGAAAAATAGGAGGCTGTAAATATTTTCTTACCACTGTCAATCTTGTAAAGCTTGATAGTTGGGCTTTTGCATTATGGTCTAAACATTATTTTTCTGCCCATTATGTATCTGACAAAGCTAACCCTTCCATGAAGCTACAATAAAATCAGGACTCAATGTTGTTTGCTATGGCAAGCTATAAAAGACCAATCATAACCCCAAAATGTAGAAAGGGCAAAAGAATTCTGAATTTCTGCAGATGTGCAATTGCAAAAAGGTGCTTAATTACTTTCCCTGCCAACTCCCCACAGCTAAATGAAAGTAGTACAGTAAAAGGCCATTCACTGGTTTTGAAGAGTTTCCATTTTCTCATTTCCATTCAAAAATACACATAGTAAGATGAAACCATGAGATATGGTGACATGAACATGAAAGAAAGTGTAAGTTTATACATCCATATTACATTGGCAGACTTTACTGCTTTGTGTATGTTTTTTTTTTAATTTTTCATCTATAAATATTTCTATCTGGTCTTTCCCGAAGGAACTCAGGAATTATCCTAAGAACAGCATTATGTGTAATGAATTCAAGACTACGTAATGATTTGATTGGCTGAAATAGTGAGGATCTAATTCATTCAAAATTAGATAGGCACATTAAAAATATTTATTTTGAATCATTAAATCAGGATTTCATTGCAGTTAGCAGTAATAGTAATCACAGGAAGAGCGCTTGCTGTTTATTTCCACTGATCTCTTCAAGAGTTTTCACTGTCAGGAATTCCCAGGGCAAGACTCAGTCAAGCATTGAGGTATTTGGCATGGTGCCTGATATGGTCATTAATGAACGTTGCGATAAAGTAGTAACTGTGATCGTAGCCCTGAGGAAAGGAAAAGACCGGGCAGTTTCAAAAACCAAGCCACAATGTCAAATTAAAAATACACACGTATGAGACTCCCTCACAACAATCACTATGGCAGGACAAGATATTCTCTACCACTAAGGGAAGGTGAATCACAAGCACATGGCAAGATCTGAAATCATCTTTGTATGAGTTTCTTAACTGAGCAAGAATTTAAGGCTTGAATCCTATACAGTACTTACCTGGCTACAGACAGGCCTCAGTGGAAAGCATAGGATTGTAGTATAAATGTTTAATATTTCTTTTAAAGCTTAACTTATGGCCAATGGGGTGCACAAAGTTTCAAGCCTGAAACAGTTGTTCCAACATTACTGCAAGTGTGCTGATCCTGTTCCAATCATTCTGGAAATGTTCCAAATACTTGTAAATTGAAACATCCATTTCAAGCTTGGAACCATTCCAGAACAGTCAAAACTCTCTGGACGAAGTCAGAGAACCCATTTCAAACTCTAAACAACTGCTGAATTTGAAAAGCCTTCCACACCTCTAGTTTTCTCCTCTGTGTATTTAGTCTCATAGCAATCCCTCATTCATTGATATCACAAACCCAGCAAATTAAATCCCAAATCTTAAAAGCCACTATTTAAAGCAGTATCAGTCCTGATCACAATCAGGCAGTGGCTGTGTTCAACAATGCATGATAACTAGGCTTCTGAAGGATTTCCTGTGAATTACTGCATGCCTGACATGTAACTCTTTTTCTACTCCCTTCTAAAAGGTTTGTTTTAGTTGGTATTGCACTGAGGACATAGAAATCATAGTCCAAGTACAAACCTTGTTGGTGATTTCTGATTGGTTTGGGAGCAACAAACCAGAACAAAGAGTTCCTTCTTTAACATTCATGTTACGGGGAATGAATGGGCTGCAGAAAAAAGCCTGCAGATGATTCTCAATAAGCCAGAATTTGCCAGTGTAGGAGCAATGCCTAGAAAAAGCTTGATTAACCACTAACATTCCTAGATGCTTTAGCTCAACGTTAGTGAGTTGGAAAAAGCATGTATGATACACGCACAATTCTAATACCTAGACTTTCAGATCCTAGGAACTGATTTGGTCATTAAAAACTCATTTAATTAAATAATCACTTTTTACTTAACTGTACCTTTCCAAGTGAGATTTGAGCACTAAATGCAAACCAAACTAAAACCCAGCTTTGGAGCATTACCTGCTGCAATCTAAAAACTACTGGGATTTTCCGCTCTGTGCAAGCAGCAATGAAATTATCTGGTAACAACTGCCCTGCTGTAAGGAACTGATCATCTTTGCCTTGGTCAACAAGGATATCCAGAGGAGAACCTTGAAAAGATTTCGCAATGTGTGTGGCATCGTAGGCCTACAGGGAAAAAAAGATACATTCACTTCTAACAATAGCAGCAGCCTGGCCAGATTAAAAGGTCAGAAAGACAAGGGAGAGCCCAGACAAAAGGCAATTTCACACAACAGTCATATAACGTGGGCATCTACTAGCTACTGAAGGAATACATATCATTTGAATTCTCTTCTGTTTTAGAAGCTTCAAGAAGGGAACAAGTTCCCTTTCATTAGCAGCCACTAGCAGCAGGAAGAATAAAATACTTTCAATCAGGCATTCATTTTTCACAATTATTAAACAGAAGGATCAAGCATTCCAACCCCACATCTGCCTGGCATCAACCAAGTAAGTATTATCCATTTTTTTCTGGCAGTAGCTGTTGTAAATCCAACATCCTGGTTCTAAATGGCTAGTTATAAAATGATAGTCATAATTAAAATATTAAAAACTCAGTCAAAAATACATTCATAAGAAACAATAAAATCTACAGGTATACAAAACTTTTCAAATTGAAAACTCGGTTTTTGCCTTCCAGACAAACTATTTCAACCATTTCAAAACTGGAAACACCTGTCCCTGAAAAACAGAGCATTTCTAAAATGAAACACAGCCGTTTTGAGCTCACAACACATCCAAATGATCAAAGCAGCCAATTTTGAATGGGGAACTGATTACAACTCAAAATGGGAGTTTCACATTTGATCTGAGCTCAAAATATTGCACGCCGCTAACAAAGTCTAATACAATGACAAATGTTCTTCTATCCTGAAAGCTGCTTTGAATACCTTCGTCTGCTGGTGGAACGACAAGAGGATTCTGAATGATTAATTTTGAAATGGTAGAAACAAGTTACTGATATTTTTATAACAATCATGATCGCATCTTAATTGTTCTATGATATTGTATGTGTGATGACATTTCAGTACATACTTCCCAGTTTGCTGTGTTCGGCCCTAGGTATCCACTGAAAGCCTTTTTCCCCCATGGGCACTGAATCGGGTTGCAGATTGGAGCAAATGCTGAAACAGACTATTTAAATATTGATGATTAAAGATTCAACATTCTTGCACTAAAATGTGAAAATTTATCTTTCCTCTAGTAAACATTTATGAAGTTGCCATTTATAAAGTTCCATAACGTAGCTGTTTATTTTCCCACCTTTGTTAGATATATAGGACATGGTCCTAAAGGGGAAGAAATGATAAAAGTTTGTTTGTAACTGCTGTAAAGAAGATTGGAAGCTGCTTCTTTAACTTTTTTTTTTCTTTTTTCTCTTTTTCTGTTTCTAGCACTTTCTATTTTTCTCTTTTTTCTTTCTCTATTCTTCTTTTATACATTTGTTCTTGTTTATCTTTTAATTATGTATAAACTTTCAATAAAAATTATTTTAAAAGATATATAGGATATGATAAACATCTGTTATTGTTGAATTAAACTTTTTCTATGAATATCCCACACTTAATTCACACATAGCAAAAATACCTATGTAAATCATGATATCTTGAATAAAATGCCTCACGTCTCATGTTAGTTATAAAGCCTATATATTCTCTGTGTTTAAGAAGTTGCTGTAATCACTCAGCACTGAGTTGGATATGCAACTATGTCTTATGATTTAAAGATGGAATTTGGACAGATTGAACAAGAACTTAAATCAGCAACACTGATTTTCCAATTTCATATTTATAATAGCACTGAAACCTCTATCTAAAAGAAATGCCTGCTTCTTGCAAAAAGTTTAATCCTGCTGGTAGCAAAGATTTTTAAACTAATATTTGAGCCAAAAATATAAATTATAATTGTTTCTGTCTTTATTTTACAAAACATCTTTTTCTTTCCTTTACACAAGGATCCATGCCATTCTTCACTGTAGGGTAAGGCAGCAGGGGCCCCTCTAAGAGACATCATCTGGCTCCAAAGAGGACAACCTCCCATTTCCAAGAAATCAGGAGGACTGGGTCCAGGTGCAAGCTCAGCCTAAGCACACTGTTCTCTAAATATTTCTCACAACCTCTTCACAATACATTATTAGGAATAAAAACCATCTCTGGGACACA